AACCAGCCTAGGCTGGTTGGCTGGTTTTAGCTGGTTGACCAGCCTGGTTTTAGAGGGGTGTTGGCCATTTCCAGGCTGGTTTTCAGCCATTTACAGCCTGGTCTTAGCTGGTCAGGCTGAAAAATGACCAGCTTAATCCAGCTAAAACCAGCTTGACCAGCCTGGTTTAAGCTGGACATAGCTGGTTTTGGCTGGGCTCTCAGCCTGGCTAGGCTGGTCAAGCTGATTTTAGCTGGTCATCTCCCAGCCTGACCAGCTAAGACCAGGCTGGAAATGGCTGGAAACCAGCCTGGAAATGGCCAAAACCCCTCTAAAACCAGCCTGGTCGACAAGCTAAAACCAGCCTAGGCTGGTTTATTCAGTAGGGAAGGCAAAGGTGCAGGTACAAAATGAATTATTAGCATTGAAATATTATAGTACATGCCAACTAGGCTAATGTATCGTTCCCAGTGATGCTTTAGACAAGTGGTCCTCAAACTGTGGGGCTTCCTTCTAGTGGTACGCGGATAAATCAAATATGTCATATGTACATGCTATATTTAAATAAATTATCAAAAATGATTCATAAATGAATATGATGACATAAAGCCTATGGCTGATTCCAGCGTTATGGATGTGACATTTGCAGTAAAAATTCAAAACATAAATTCGCAGAGAGAGTATACGTTAACATTATATTGAATCATCTGTTTATATTTTCCAAAACAACTAACCACAGAGTTATGGGATCAAAAAAATTCAATCTGTGAACATTTTTATACTTTAAATGAGGAAAATAAACTAGCGTTATGGATGTGACAAAAAAAGTTGCGAGTTTACAGTATACAACATATTTCGTAGAAATTCTGTGAATTAAACTGCACAACCCAAAATAAATAATGCTCAACAAAAGGATAAGAGTTGGCTCTTTATAGAACAAAACTGATTGATTTTATTTTATTTTGACATTTTTGCATTTTTGAGGGAAAAGCTTTGTTATGGATGTGACACTTTTTCGTTATGGATGTAACGGATGTGATTTTGCCATTTGTGTGACTTTGGACAATCAAATATAATAGTTTGAAAACATTGACAGAGACATTTTTAAGTATTTTCAAAGTACTGTAAAACACTTGCCTGCGCAAAAAATGTAGAAACGGTTTCGCTATTTTGGTGAAAACATTTTTCTTTTCATGGCAAGGTTGACATTTTCATGGAATTGCTCCTATATTTATGAGGTCCAGGCATTTCCAGGTGCTGATAAACTAGGAGTTTTTTTTATTACTTTTTAGGAACAGTAACTTACCATTTTTAACCTTTAAAAGCACATTTTAATCTAAATGTTCTTAATAATAGGAATTATTATGCCTCGTTTTTTTAACTGTATAGACCTTTAGCTGCCTAATTGACCTAATATACTGTATTCCAATACTGCTCATTATGGTGGTACTTGCAAAGACAACAATTTTCTGAGGTGGTACTTGGAAAAACGTTTGAGAACCACTGCTTTTGTACCGTTTAAATGCGGTCGTGTCAATGGCCCATTTCCTGCTTGTTGTCATACTATTTCATAACTGCAATAAGAGACAATTCAGTCATAACCAAATGTAAACACAGTTGTCTGTTTGTCAATACGTGGATCTTTTTGGATTTCCTTAAGCTAAAGTAAAAATCTAAAACAGGAAACGCCTTAGGACTTGTTATTGTTTACATCCCTGGTCTAAACATGAATGAGCGACGTTACGTTCATTTTTGTGAGCTATTAAAATATTTTAAAATCTTTATTTACCTCGAGACCTGGTGTGTCAGCCTCCTCTTCTTCCCTTTTAGAAACCTCTAAAGGACACAAAAAAGGCTTGTCGAAGTATGTGATGTCTTAATTACATGCATCAATCACTAACAGCAAAAACTTCCGATAAATACTTAACGTTAGCTTTACTTATTTGCTAAAGGCTAACTGAGTCTGAAAACACCCATAACTTATACAGAAAGGCATAACGTTAATCACATTACCTTCAGACATCTACCCTCTTTAAAACTATAAGCCAGCTAAAAATACCAAAAGAAACACTTGAAGTTGAGATGGCACCACTGTTTTATTAAAGGGACGATAGCTCTTGTGAGTCGCTGATATTTCTTTGGGCGGCTCATGCTGATAAGTGGTAAACGACATATATGTGATATTGTTTTATTCCTCGAGGGGGCGCATGGAGGCTCACAAAGCCGACTGCTGTAAATGCTTTTTATAATTTAATTCAATTCATCTTTATTTCTGTATTTGTTTACTATGTAAATTGTGTCAAAACATTAAAGTTATAGTAAACTGAAACTGGGTCAGTCCAGTTTTCAGATTTGAAGTTCAGTTGAGTTCAGTAATTCTGGTTTAATTTTCACTGAAAGTCCAAACACTGAAGAGCAAATCCATCGATGTATCGAACAGAAAAAATATTTAAGTGAAGTTCTACTTATTAAGTGATTATTATACTAAAAACATCAATAAAATAATAATTAAGTAATACTGTTTTTTATAGACACGCATTTACTTTTTTGTGTTTTAACAAGACATAACAATGGATAACATCATGTACAATAATAAACAAGAAAAATCATATATAAATAAATAAAAATAATACTAAAAGATAATAAAAAACAGGAGAGGCTAAAAAAAATTCCTCATAAAATGTAAGTTTTTACACTTTTTTTGCTGAAAACATTTTGTAAAGTACCCAGTAAAATAAATGAATTGCTTATAAATTATGTTATTTGTCATGGGAAAAGTAACAAATTATATTCACACATAAACGCATTTACTTTATTGTTTTTATTTCGTCTTTTGTCCTTAAGACAATAAAAAATGACGTAACGACTTGATTATTTGAAAAGTAAATGCAAAATAGGTTGTAAACTCCTACCTGACCACGAAAAACATCTGAGAAGCCTGTCCCCGCCCAATTTGGATTTTGTGAAGATGCCTCATTTTTAATCCCTGCAATGTTTCTCCGTAATTTGTTGATAATATTCCGGGTGGAAACAGACTTTAATATTCGTTCCAAAATCGCGTCTAGATCGTATAACTTTATCAGAAACCATACATTTTAAGTTTAATTTGACAAGTAAATGAATAAATAAATTACCTTACATTGTACCTTCTCAGATTTCTTGATCCACCTTTCCTGTGCATGTGTCTCACTGTTTCTAACACTTAGACCTAATACTCACACCTCATAAAACGGATTATAGGATTTACTCCACCTAACTAATCTGACTTGACACCTGTTTTATTTTCCTTTTCTTTTTTATGGTACTTATATCATGTGCCGTGTCATTCTTATTCTGTGCCATTCCTAACTGTTCCTTTATCATTTCAGTTATTAAACTATAAAAAAAACTGTATTGGTCCAGCTCAGGATATTACGGTTTAGTATTTTTCTACAGAATTTTTTCACATTTTACACAGGCCAAATGTCCACCCTGTTACTGAACATTCTCGTATCTTTTAAAAGGTGTTTAAAATAAACAGTTACTGTAATTTTAAACATTATAAGAGCTAAAATGTCCATCACTTTACCCTGCAATAGTATTTTTAAAAGGTATTACTAGATTTATCTAAAAAAAAAAAAAAAAAAAGACTTATGGTTAGGGCCAAACAAAATCTGCTGACTTCTCTGCGCAGAATTGTGTAAAAAATCTGTGGATTTATGCGGAATGATTTCGGGAGTATCGTAGCTAAAAACTTGATATGTGAAATAAAAAATAATACCTTTTTAACCTTAATGTTTACAATGCAAATTTATCTAAATCTACTTATTTGGTAAACAAAGCACTATATAATATATCTTATAATGTCTAGACAGAAAATATGACTTTACAAATTGTATAAAAAAATATGAACATTTCCATATTAGTCGATAACATTATTGAAATTAATTTTAAAAATCTGAATATAAATTTACACACATTTACTCAAGTAAAAAATAGACTCAGTGATGAGCTAAAAATCTGCGGAAATCTATTTCAGTTACTATTAAAAGAAACTGCAATGCAATTAAATCCTGTTTTTAAGTGGCTTAATTTTGTTAGTTTAGTTTAGTTTTTTGGATGCAAGTAACCAGAAAAACGTGTAATATATGTTGATTAACAGGGTGGACACAAAGCCCCAGTCCCAATTCTACCCTTACCCCTCATTTTTTTATCACTAAGTTTTTAATTTTAAATAAATTTGCAATAATTTCAAAAACTCTTTTTTTACATTGTCGTTGTGTGTATTGTGTGTAAAATTTTGAGGAAATAAATTGAATCCATTTTGCAATAAGGCTGTAACATAAAAAAATGTGGAAAAAGTGAAGCGCTATGAATACTTACGCACTGTACAGTACATGACCTGGGACATGGCAATTCAGCTGCATGCATTGAAATACAGTACAGTACAATACAATTAACTGAGGAAATATTTTCAACTTAATTTAAGTTTTATCATTTTGTCCTATGGTGGATAAAGATAATCCTTTAAGACATGCTTTAAGAATTTTTTTAAATTGCATTTTTAAATATTCTGCATATAATACCTAGGACACACAAATGGCACTGAATAGTAGGAATGACCCTGCCACCAAAATCTCATAAAAGTAAAACAAATAAAATTTCACATTACAACACAAACTTTTATTGTGTTTGTCTCAAAACATTATATAATCTATATCTACAATAAAATTTGCAACAATCATGCACATAACATTCAGAACAACCCTTTGTTAAAATGGCAGAACAGTTGTTTGATGCTACATAAGCCTCCATTATGAACGTCTCAGCCCACTCTGTGTGGAAGCATCATCAATGTCTGTTGGCTCTTGTCTTTCTGGCTGGATCATGCCCTGCTCACTTTCAACTCCAATGACCTGACAGTGAGGTAGCATTTCCTCCAACAGTATCCGGACCAGACCTGGACACTGAAGTCGAGGAAGTCCAGAAATGTCCAGCCGTTTTAGTTTTCTGGGTGGAAAAGGAATACAATTTGATAGCTCAACAAATCTGCATATTTAAAACATTAAAAAAGTTTGTTGCTTTATGAATTGCATATGTGGGTATTGTGTATTTTTTATGCTTTCTTTATGTTTTTTATTAGTTTATGCTTTGACAGTAAGCTAATAATTGCAAATTTAGGGTAATTAGTTAATGGTATCACCACAAGTGCCTCCATTTAATTTCATAGGGCGTCTTCAGTGTCTAAGACTGAAGATCAACACATTTGAATTCTGATTCTGAAATCCAAAGACACAATGTGATCAGGGGCTGACTGGCCATTTTGCAATTCTGGCAAATGCCAGAAGGGCTGAACAGGGCCAGAGTGGTACTCTTTTTCCGCCCTAGAGTTTCAAGCCTCAGACCGGCCCACCTCAGTTTATGACTGACTATTAAAACAAGGTCATTTCCAATTCAGTTTCTAATTACACTATCACGTCTTTTTTTGAGAAAACAGCTGCTTTAGAACTTTAAATGTTCAACAACCCTAATGCCGAGTTCAGACTGCATGATTTTCAAAGTAATCGTGTCACAGATGTTTTCACACAGCATGACTATCTGGGCTAGGGTTTCGTCGCTGCTTTGTTTACACTGCAAGATTGATCTGTGACAAGGACTTTCACATTGCATGACTTTACTATAGGAAGAATCGCCGACAAGTTAGTCCAAACTACGTCTCACAGCCAAAAACACGTAGTATGTCTTTTGTTATTAACTACATAATGAGAAAGAAGCCTTTAATGGGGTAGAAAATGTCCATATTTGCTCACCTGGGTTTAAAGGGAAATAGCCATTTCTCCTTAACGTTGATAATAAACTAATTTCTTTATGTATAAACGGTCAAACAGAAACGGTTGCTCCTGAGTCCTGTCAAACCTGCACTAGTTTTTCCTCCATTTTGTGGGTCCAAATAAACAGAAAAAGGGCGCTTTTAACTTCTCCCCCAGCCTCCAGCTGGCCTGCAGCAGGTATACACACACACACACAAGTGAAAGCTGCTCTCTCATTGGCTGTAGGCGATCGCCAATGTTATTTTCAGTCAAAACTCAATTCACACGGTATGATTTGAATCGCCGACAGCTCCAGATATTTAGCAAGCCAAATATCTCGCAGGCATCGGCGACTCATCGGCGATTCTCTCAGGTCGCGTCTTTGATAGTTCATACTGTGTGATTGTCACTCACGTGCACGAGCAGCGATTTGCCTGTGATTTCAGGCATTTGTCGGCGATTTCTCAAAACCTGTCGGCGAGCCAAAATCAGGGCTAAAATCACGCAGTCTGAACTAGGCATAACAGTATTATATGTCTTAACAAAATAAAATAATGAAATCAATAAAAATGAAAAAAAAAAATAATAATAATAACATACTCAGACGAGGATCAAACCCAGATCGGCGGCATCGTAATCTAATGTGCTAACCACTGGACCACAACACTTGTAAATTGAGAAATGGCTCATCTGAGTTATATCATCATTAACCTGCAGGCTGGTTATATATACAAAGAGCAGAGCTGCGGTAAAATAATGAATAAGAAGACTGTGGTCAAGTAAATAAATAAATTAATTTAAAAAAGTGTGACTGCTGAGAGCAACAGATTCTGGAGCTAGGGACACCGGCCCTTGCGGCCAAAAAAACAGACCGGCCCACCGAGAATTCTCCCGGTCCTCCCGATTAGCCAATCCGGGCCTGGGGCCGAACCATTTTTTAAATGTGGGCCGGTCAGTTTAAAAATGTATTTTTTTTTTAATGTATTGTTTTTACATGCTGACAGCTTTTATCTCTTGAAAGATGTGAATATTATGATGATGATGATAATAATAGTAATAATAATAAGTTTTAATAATTTGGCCCAATCGGCGACAGCCAGCTGTTTTCGAGATGGGCCGACCCAATCAGAGGTTACGTAAACGTAATCAATATCTGGCAAGAATAAGCTTTTTTTGAGATTCGCCTCGCCTTGACTGCGTTGTAGGTGAGCAGGCGGCTGAAGTAAGAGGAGGGCTCAAAAAATACATCAGAAGTCTATCGGACACTGTCGGCGCCACTGGCCTAGTGGTTAGTGCGTCGACACATAGCACTGAGGTGCTCGCAGCGACCCGAGTTCTATTCCCGTCTCGAGGTCCCTTGCTTATCCTTCCCATCTCTGCACCCCACGCTTTCCTGTCTATATCTCCACTGTCCTATCAATAAAGGTGAAAACCCCTAAAAAATTATTAAAAAAAAAAGAAGTCGGTCAGACACTTCCCAAATTTCGCTGTTTTGCCACCTGGAAACCTCACCAGTAACGGAGATTGTGGTCAGGTTTTTTTCTTTCTTTTTTTTTTTTTAATCACAGGTAAATGACCTCAAGAAAAAATTACTATGGTAATTTATGGTAAATATTATAGTGTTTTTGAACATTTTCTTCAGTATTGGGTTATGTTTATTGTTGTGATACCATAGCAACTATAGAATTTAAATAGCCTATTCACCTTATTCTCAGCTGACGAGCGGGCGCTGCCATTTGAATCTTTTTGTCTCGCGACTTCCGGTCACATTCACTTCCATTCATTTTTTGACGTTAACAACTGTTGGTTACGCTGCTTGATGTTGCAATTTAATATTTTCTTATTATATTATGCTACTTGGTCTGTATAGTCATGCAAACATTTGTTTGTAGAGTAAGTAGTTTGGCCATTTTCTGCCGTTTATTATTCCTAGTCATTTCTCCCATAGGCGACTGAATCTGAAGTTCTAAGACAATCGCGAAAACAGGCGCACTTCCGCATTTTAGAATAAGGTCAATAGAATTTAAAAGGCTGCATTTAAAATGTAGATCTGTATATTCAACAGTGAGCCTAAATGTTAATAAATAAACAGCTTTTACAGCAAGAAAGGCTTCAAGAAATCTCATTTGGCTACATTATAAAGTAAGTAGCTAAACAGGCGGCTGCAGTAAGAGGAGGGCTCAAAAAATACATCAGAAGTCGGTCGGACACTGTCGGCGCCAGTGGCCTAGTGGTTAGTGCGTCGACACATAGCACTGAGGTGCTCGCAGCGACCCGAGTTCTATTCCCGTCTCGAGGTCCTTTGCTGATCCTTCCCATCTCTGCTCCCCACGCTTTCCTGTCTATATCTCCACTGTCCTATCAATAAAGGTGAAAACCCCTAAAAAATTATAAAAAAAAAAAAAAGAAGTCGGTCAGACACTTCCCAAATTTCGCTGTTTTGCCACCTGGAAACCTCACCAGTAACGGAGATTGTGGTCAGGTTTTTTTCTTTCTTTTTTTTTTTTTTAATCACAGGTAAATGACCTCAAGAAAAAATTACTATGGTAATTTATGGTAAATATTATAGTGTTTTTGAACATTTTCTTCAGTATTGGGTTATGTTTATTGTTGTGATACCATAGCAACTATAGAATTTAAATAGCCTATTCACCTTATTCTCAGCTGACGAGCGGGCGCTGCCATTTGAATCTTTTTGTCTCGCGACTTCCGGTCACATTCACTTCCATTCATTTTTTGACGTTAACAACTGCTCGTTACGCTGCTTGATGTTGCAATTTAATATTTTCTTATTATATTATGCTACTTGGTCTGTGTAGTCATGCAAACATTTGTTTGTTGAGCAAGTAGTTTGGCCATTTTCTGCCGTTTATTATTCCTAGTCATTTCTCCCATAGGCGACTGAATCTGAAGTTCTAAGACAATCGCGAAAACAGGCGCACTTCCGCATTTTAGAATAAGGTCAATAGAATTTAAAAGGCTGCATTTAAAATGTAGATCTGTATATTCAACAGTGAGCCTAAATGTTAATAAATAAACAGCTTTTATAGCAAGAAAGGCTTCAAGAAATCTCATTTGGCTACATTATAAAGTAAGTAGCTAAACAGGCGGCTGCAGTAAGAGGAGGGCTCAAAAAATACATCAGAAGTCGGTCGGACACTGTCGGCCCCAGTGGCCTAGTGGTTAGTGCGTCGACACATAGCACTGAGGTGCTCGCAGCGACCCGAGTTCTATTCCCGTCTCGAGGTCCTTTGCTGATCCTTCCCATCTCTGCTCCCCACGCTTTCCTGTCTATATCTCGACTGTCCTATCAAATAAAGGTGAAAACCCCTAAACAATTATTTTAAAAAATAATTAAAATAAACAGAAGTCGGTCGGACACTTCCCAAATTTCGCCGTTTTGCCACCTGGAAACCTCACCAGTGACGGAGATCGTGGTCAGATTTTTTTCTTTCTTTTTTTTTTTTTTTTAAATCACAGGTAAATGACCTCAAGAAAAAATTACTATGGTAATTTATGGTAAATATTATAGTGTTTTTGAACATTTTCTTCAGTATTGGGTTATGTTTATTGTTGTGATACCATAGCAACTATAGAATTTAAATAGCCTATAGAATTTAAAAGGCTGCATTTAAAATGTAAATCTGTATAAATCAACAGTGAGCCTAAATGTTAATAAATAAACAGCTTTTACAGCAAGAAAGGCTTCAAGAAATCTCATTTGGCTACATTATAAAGTAAGCAGCTAAATAGCAAGATGCTTTTGAGTGATAGGTCATGTTGTGCTAGTAATGTTCCTAGAATTTGGCATTTTATTGAATAAGTGGTCCGTTTCTATAATAAATGTAGACTTTCTATAGAGTGCATTAGAAGGTATAAAGGGACAGCAAACGGACTCACAGATAGTTTTTTATTATGTATACATTTTGTTATAAATGGGTTGTTTTTGTTCCAGTCACATACATTAAATGTTTAATATGGCACTGCCTATATTATTTCACCATCTGTACACCAATATAAGTAGTGAATGTGCGTGGGTGGGGCTGTGTCGGTGTGGTAATGTGGGCTGGTGTGGCTACAGGCCCAGGGCTTAAATTTTTGAGTCCAGAAATTTTTTCAGTCCACCCCTGACTGTGATGTATGCATGCAAATGGTCAATACACATGTGGTTCACCTGAGGTTCTGTAATGCAGCGAGCCCTCCTACAGTCACATGAGTGCAGTCAGACAGGTCTAATTCCACCAGACTGTCTCTAAAGACGTGAAGACGAGCAAGGAACCAGTCGTCCACTTCCGGACATCCTCGTAAGGAGAGAGTTTTCAGTTTATTCTGGGATACTGAGAAAAGAGAATTTGTTTGTATGAGTGAGGAAATAAATAATAAAGCACAATGATAGTTCATCAGTGGCACCTGTGAGATCCCACCTATTATTTTTGTTTTGAATATAGCTAATATTAGATTTCAGTGGGAACGGATCACAATTCTGAACAGACCCGTATGTGCATGAGAAGCAGAGAAATGGCACATGCAATGTGATTAAACATGATACTTTATGAAAAAAAAGAGTACATTTATACAAAACAAAAGGTGATTACTAAGGTTGCCGAGTCCATTAAGGTTTATTAGGGTGCCACTCAGATCCACTTCTTCAATTTGTCCATGAGGGGACCTCATAAAGCTGAACATTCCTGTTGAGTCTGGACGAAACCATTGAGACTGGCCAGCAAATCTATAGAGACAGAGTTGGGCAATTGAAATATTTTGTGGTCTACTTACACCTTTTAGGAAGACCAGTAGATAGTAAAATGTAGAGGTATTAGTATTTATAATAGTTAGACACTGTAGGACCCTGACTTGTATATTGATTTTGTTAATACAAACATGAATTGAATATATATATGTAGAAACACTTTTTTCAAATGTATAAAGCAATTGTTTATATATATATATATACAGTTAAAGTCAGAATTATTAGCCCCCCTGTTTATTTTTTTCCCCAATATCTGTTTAACTGAGAGAAGTTTTTTTTCAGCACATTTCTAAACATAATAGTTTTAATAACTCATCTCTAATAACTGATTGATTTTATCTTTGCCATGATGACAGTAAATAATATTTTACTGGATATTTTTCGAGACACTTGAAGTTACATTTAAAGGCTTAACTAGGGTAATTAGGTTAACTAGGCAGGTTAGGGTAATTATGCAAGTTATTGTTTAACGATAGTTTGTTCTGTAGACTATCGAAAACAAATTAGCTTAAAGGGGCTAATAATTTTATCCTTAAAATGGCTTTTAAAAATTTTAAAACTGCTTCTGTTCTAGCCGAAATAAAACAAATAAGACTTTCTCCAGAAGAAAAAATATTATCAGGCATACTGTGAAAATTTACTTGCTCTTAAATATCATTTGGGAAATATTAAAATAAGAAAAAAAAAAGGGGGGCTAATAATTTTGACTTTAACTGTGTGTGTGTGTATATATATATATATATATATATATATATATATATATATATATATATATATATATATATATATATATATATATATATATATACATATATACACACACACACACACACATACATACATACATACATACATATATACATACATTCCGTTTTATTTACTATTTCTACCCCAAATAAATAACGATAAAAGGTTAAGTGAATCTAGTTTTTTTTTAAACTGTTTTCATTATTATGACATCAGGATTAAGTGTATAACTGACATTTAAGGCTATATGTTTTAAATTAACTTAAATTAGCTTAAAAATGTGTATTTAATAAAAGATCACTGTACGTATTCTAAAATAAATGAACAGACACAAGTAAATAAACAGAAGAAATAAATAAAAATAAGAATCACATCATTGAGCCATACCTGAAGCTCCCTTTGATAGCCAGGATGTAATATGCAGCTCCTATTTGAGCACCATACCTCTTTTGCACATAACCAAAATACCTACAAAAAAAAAAGACTTTCAGTCAAAAGTTCAAATAAATAAAAAATAACATAGTTGTTTGTTTTAATAAAGACTAATATATATATATATATATATATATATATATATATATATATATATATATATATATTAAGGTCAATAAGTATTTGATCACCCTGTGATTTTTCTATATCCTCTACTAAGAAATCATGGAAGGGTCTAGAATTTTGGGTCTAGAAGGGTCTAGAATTTTTCCCGAAGGGTCTGGAAAAAGTGCATTTCCACTTTCAGAGACAGAATCTAAAAATAAAAATCCAGAAATCATGTTGGATCATTTTGTAACAACTTATTTGTAAATCACTATGTCAAATAAGTATTTGATCCCTTGCTTTTCAGCCAGATTTCTTACCCTCAAAGACCTGTTATTTTGCTTTTAAATAGTCCAGCTACACTCTGCTCATGACTTTAATTTAGTAGCCCCTGTTTGAGGTCATTAGCTGTCATAAAGACACCTGTACACCCCACAATCAGTCAAATGTCTAAGGAGCAACATGGGCAAAACCAAAGACCTGTATAAAGACACAGGAGCCAAAATTTTAGACCTTCACAAAGCTGGAAAGGGCTACGGGGTAACTGCCAAGCAGCTTGGTGAGAAAAGAACAACTGTCGGGGCAATTGTCAGAAAGTCGCAGATGCTAATGATGACTGTCAATGTTCCTCGGACTGAGGCCCCACGAAAGATCTCTACTCAAGGGGTATCAATAATGCTAAGAATGGTCAAGAATCAGCCCAAAACTACACGGAAGGCGCTGGTCAATGCTGTGTTGAGAGCTGGAACCACCGTTTCTAAGGCAACTATCAGTAATACATTCAGACGTCATGGTTTAAAATCATGCATCGCAAGGAAGGTCCCCCTGCTTAAGTCAACCCATGTCAAGGCCCGTCTGAAGTTGCCAGGGACCATCTGGATAATCCAGAGGAGTCATGGGAGAAAGTCCTGTGGTCAGATGAGACCAGAATAACTTTTTGGTCTTTACTTTATTTGCCATGTTTGGAGGAAGAAGAATTGTGTGTTTCATCCCAATAATATGCTCTGGGGGTGTTTTTCTGCACAGGGGACAAGACGACTGCACTGTATAAAGGAGAAGATGAACAGGACTATGTATTGTGAGATATTGGGCAAAAACTTCTTCCTGAGTCAGAGCATTAAAGAATGGTTGTGGCTGGGTCTTCCAACATGACAATAACCCAAAGCACACAGCCATGAAAACCAAAGAGTGGCTTTGTAAGAAGAATATTAAGGTTCTGTAATGACCTAGCCAGTCTCCAGACCTAAATCCAATAGAAAATCTTTGGAGGGAGCTGAAACTCTGTGTTGCTCAGCAACAGCCCCAAAACCTGACAGATCTAGAGAAGATCTGTATAGAGGAGTGGGCCAAAATCCCTCCTGCAGTGTGTGCAAACCTGGTGAAGAACTACAGGAACCATTTGACCTCTGTAATTGTTGACAAAGGCTTCTGTACCAAATATAAAGCATTTTGACTCAAGTCAAATTTTTATTTTTAGATTCTGTAGATTAAATTCTAGACCCCTCCATGATTTCTAAGTAGGATATATATATATATATATATATATATATATATATATATATATATATATAACATTTATTGCATATAAAACATTTAGCCTGCTGCCAATGGCCTTAATTAATGTATCTGGCAATACACAAAATAAACAAACTTCTCTGATGACAAATACAAATGCACTTACTTATTCTGGAACTTGACCACTTTTGTCTTCCACCACTCTTTCAAATATAAAAAGCTCTCCACATCATAGAAATAGTGATCAAGTTTTAGTAAGAGCCTGGTGAAGACAGATGGTGTTGCACCAGAACGCAAACCCCTCCTTACAGTAACAGCACAGTTGTGTGCTAAACATCTCCTCATGGCATGCCGCTTTTGAAAGAGACAGATTAAAATATATAATTTGTAAAGGATATGGAATACAGAACCTTATTAACCTTTTAAAAAATATAGATTTGCAAGTGAAACCTAGATTATTGAGCAAAGAAATGTAAAACTAATGCAAACCACAAAAAAAAAGAAGAGAAAATTAAGTTTAGATAAAAGAAATTTTTCAAACAAAAATAAAGAACTGCATTTTAAAGAAAAGCTAAACTAAACTATTTGCAATTTCATACATGTACAGTATATATATATATATATATATATATATATATATATATATATATATATATATATATATATATATATATATATATATATATATATATATATATATTTACAGTTGACGAATTATTAGCCCCTCTTTGATTTTTTTTTTATTCTTTTGAAAATATTTCCCTAATGATGTTTAATAGATTCAGGAAATGTTTACACTACTAATGTCTGATAATGTTTTTTTTTCTTTTGGAGAAAGTCTTATTTGTTTTATTTCAGCTAGAATAAAAGCAGTTTTTAATTTTTTGCCTCTTTAAGCTATATATTTTTTTCCATAATCTACAGAACAAACCATCGTTAAACAATAACTTGCCTAATTCCCCTAACCTAGTTAACCTAATTAACCTAGTTACGCCTTTAAATGTCACTTTAAGCTGTATAGAAGTGTCTTGAAAAATATCTAGTCAAATATTATTTACTGTCATCATAGAAAAGATAAAATAAACTAGTTATTTCATATAACAACAATCCCAGATTAAATTTAGTCTTTCATAGTATATGAAACCGTAGTGCTAATTTCCCAAGACACTACATCTATACCTTAATCATGGCTATATGGTATTATGCAGATCATATCAGATGATAGGGTATAGTCATCTTTACAGTAACTAAATACATGCCGTAGAATTTTTTAACTGCCATATTAATTTTCTATGAAAATTACCAAAGAACACTTAACAATCAGCTTAATTTAATTCGTGACCATTTATCTGAATTTTATTCATTTTCAGCCCAACTAAATTGTCTTAAAAACTCATTTATTTGTTGCATTTGATGATATGTGTACAGGTACACACAATTGAAAAAATCCCAGTAGTTATTTACACTTGGGATTCACTACATTCCAAAAATATATTTTTTAACTGTTATTATAATGACGTAACAAACGCGCATTTCTATCCCGTTAAAGTCAAATTCTGAAATCGAGTATTTCTGTAATAAGACGAACGATTATAAATTATATTTTAGTAGATTATATCAGGAGCGTTGAACTCACCACCAAGGGGGCTGCCATTTTTGTTTTCTATGGCAGCTGCGAAGGTACAAACCAAAGAGCTCGTAAACTCTATGCTCGTAAAGCTATTTTTGCACAACACATGCACATTGTTTTGACCAGCAGATGTCAGCAGATGTCACGTTTGGTGAATCGAATGATTTTTCTGTTTCTCTCGTGACGATGTAGAGAAAACTATCACAGTAGCCTATGTGTGTAAGTATAGTAACAATATTATTAATGTGTAAATGTGTTTACAACCCCCATTTGTAAGATGCGTGAAAAAACACTCTTCTAAATGAGAAAGTTCAATGTAATTTATAGAAAACTATAAATAATGTGTAAACAGGCATTCTGGCATTCATTGATTGTTAGTTTTTAAATAATGTGTAGCTAGTGATATTTTATAGTGCTATGTGAAAAAGGTAACCTACTTTGCCAGCAGTATATTTATGCATAATGAGTTCTGTATTGAATTAACAACTAATGTTTTGGGCTTTAATGAAATCCATGCAGCATTTTTTATAAATTATACATACAATAATTTACAGTCACATTAACGTTAAAAATTTATGCATACAGGAATGATTTTCATATTAAAAGTATTTCACCACAAACTATTTCCTACACATAATTATCCTAAAAAATATGCTAACATGCTGCTTACGCACTGATAAACCATTTATTCACTTCTGACCGGACTGCAGCTCTGCCTCTTCATTTCTTTGGTTCTTGTTACTTGGCTGAGCCATTTATTATTATTTTTTTTTCAAAGTTTACTCTCCATTTTAAGTTTTAATCCATTGGCACTGTCTCGGTTGGTGCACAAGGGTGAATCACATATTTCAACAATGAATTTGTCAAATCAAATCATATTGTAACTCTGTCGGGGGACCCAAAAACATGACAAAGCCAACAATGTTTACGGAGATCTGATTTTTATTTTTATTTTTATAAACTTCAGTTAGTGCAAAATGCAGCTGCCAGAGTTCTTACCAGGTCAAGAAAATATGACCATATCACCACTTATTTATCCTCCTTTCACTCGCTGCCTGTTAAGTTTCGTATTGATTATAAAATACTGCTTCTTACCTTCATTCATTTTCATGTCGGCTTAGTCCCTTTATTATCCTGGGGTCGCCACAGCGGAATGAACCGCCAACTTATCCAGCACGTTTTTACGTAGTGGATGCCATTCCAGCAGCAACCCATCTCTGGGAAACACACACACACACACACACACACATACACTACGGACAATTTAGCCTACCCAATTCACCTGTACCACCTCTTTGGACTGTAGGGGAAACGGGAGCACCCAGAGGAAACGCAGGAAGAACATGCAAACTCCACACAGAAATGCCAACTGAGCCGAATTTAAACCAGCGACCCAGCGACTTACTGCGCCACTCTGTCGCCTGCTTCTTACCTATAAAGCTTAAACAATTCTAGCTCCTGTTTATCTAACCAACCTTCGGTCTCGCTATAATCCAACTTGCGCTTTAAAATATCAAAATCGTCTAGTAGTACCCAATATAGCAAAGTCTACTAAAGGAGGTCAAGCCTTCTCGTATATGGCACCTAAACTCTGGAACAGCCTTCCTAATAATGTCCAAGGCGCAGACAAACACTCTCAGTTTAAAATTAGATCAAAGTCCTATCTCTTAAGTAAAGCATACACACAATGCATCACATAACCATAGGTTACATGAGTGTGCTCCGTACAGGTGAGTGGGCTTGACAAACCACCTGTAGGACACACTCTTACTGTCTCAATACACCAGGCACTTTGTTAGAAATACTTATATGTTTTAGATGGTTCTTGCTATGTTTGTTCATATTTTTTTTAATAGCACTTCATTTTTACATTGTGATTGATATCTCTTGTTTAAATACATAATAAACAGCAGCTACGCTAATATTTTCTGTCCTCTAATTTCAACTCTGGACGCCCATCCTGAGGCCTCTAGAAATTGTGCAGCACCGTTGTTGGGATCCAAGACCTGCAAAGAGATGATGCCAAGCATCAAAGATTTATCAAAGACAACACATACACTGAAAACACAAATACACTTTATTAAACATGCACACATGAACATCACCTACATGCTACAGGTTAACAATGTCTAAATATAATGACTTTAACTGTTAAAAGTTTTTAGTTATAGTTAACTATTAAAGTTATTAGTAACTAATAAAATTATGGTGACTAATTTTTACAAATTGGCAATGCGGTGGTGCACTATGTAGTGCTGCCGCCTCACACCAAGAAGGTCGCTGGTCCGAGCCTTGGCTGGTTCAGTTGGCATTTATTTGTGGAGTTTGCATGTTCGCATGGATTTCCTCCAGGTACTCCGGTTTCCCCCACAAGACCAAAAACATGCAGTACAGGTGAATTGGGTAAAAAAAAAATAATTATCTGTAGTGTATGTGTGTGAATGAGAGTGTATGGGTGATTCCCAGTGATTTCCTAGTTAGAGCCGTAAAAAGAATTAAACCGCTCATCTCTCGAGTGCTCGGGTTTGAGTCATTCTGTCACGTGAACGACTTAAGAACCAGAAGACTTGAAAGGTGAACTAATTATCATGGCTCCTATCAGCTCAGACTGTGCACTTTGGTTGAGATTATATGCGGCTGTCAGTGTAACGTGATTGAACCACTGACATTTGAAGACATGAAGAGGTGAGCTGAGCAAAGAGACAACAATACCCTCATAGACAAAAGAGCAGGTAAACATTGAGTTATTATTTTCCCCTTCTTATAGTATTCTATTTATGACTTATTTGTCGTGTGATCAACCTTTTGGGCTAGTTGTAGATGTGTTTGGAAGCAATTCGTAACATTTTAATGATATTTTTGCAAATTAAACCAAATGACTCGAAAAAAAAGATTTGTTCATCTCGATGAACGAGACTCAAAGATCCGAGTCAATAAAATGATCCGAACTTCCCATCACTATTGAGCGTCTTACATTCAGAGAAATCGTTTATGTTCACACAACATTACACATCAACTAAAGTTTAAAATATGATATTGTAGTTGACCACCGCTTTAAAACAACTGAAATACTGTCACATTAAGATATTGTCACGGTTACAGCAATCTTATCAACCGTTCACAAGGTAAACCTATGAGGGTGAGCGATTTCACACATAATTTGTACTGGGGAACATCAGAAAGTGAGTGATCTTACACACAGTTCATCAGGTTAACAACAGATCTCCAGGTAAACACCAGAATAGCTTAGTCCCTTGCCTTATTCAGTTGTTTATGCATCCAAAGGTGAAATGCAGACATCCATGGAAGAAAAGAAGTTGAAGAAGGAGCGAAGGTGAAGTGAACCATCTGACTTCGATACCGGCCGATGAGTGAGAGGATAAGGTGGGTTCTTATAGTGTACGGTGATTGTGGGTGCAGGTGATTACCATGCTGGTGATTGTTCACGGGATTGGTGAGAGGGGGTTGGTGAGGGAGAGAAGCTGCAGGAACGAGCCGTGGGTATGACAGATATATAATCAATCAGAAAGTTCTTCAGACCAGGGGCCTCATGTATCAACGCTACGTATGCGCAAAAACTTTGCGTACGCCAGGTTTCACACAGAATCGCTCACATTTGGATTTACTAAATGAACGTGGGAATGTGCGCAGCTCCACGCCAGCTTCATGGCACACACATTTTTTGTGCGTGTCTGTTTTATTTCCATTGGCGACTCCTAGAGGCAGTTGTGTTAAATTGCACTCTACAAAGTGTCTTTGAGGCTTGCAATGGCAGCTGTATGAGACAGGTTCATCTAGCAGGTATATAAGGTTTCCATACCATACAGTTGACCAGCCAAACATTAAAGCGCAATTTGCAGCGGTCGCCGTTTTTCCCAATGTAATCTGAGCTATCTACTGCACACACATTGCTATAAAGACACCATCTGTAGATGAATTTGCATGCGTGAATCAGAAACATTTCCATTCAATAAATGTGCAAATAAAATATGATGCACAAACTTATTAATGATTCTTACTTGTCTTTCTCGTGATAAATAGTAGGCAAAATCTGATATGTAGCTGGGAAAAAAAGAAGAATGAGTTCATCAGACGCTGAATTCGAACCGAGTTTATGCTTGAATGTGTCAAAACATGTTGACATGCGTTCTACCAGCTGCACCACTGAGAGTGTTAAGGGTACTACAACATTTTACACATTTACATCGCACAATTTATTTTTTAAATCTACACAGTGCGATGTTCAGACCCAACTGTGTTAACCGCATCAGCTAAACTCTCCCCACTCTATTTTTTTCTTTTGTTGTTAATTCCGGAGGACAAACTTGCAAATGACACCATTTTTCTCTGGTCTTTCTCCGAAAGCAGCACCTCCAAATTACATTCTGTTCAAAGTTTCTCTTTTTGCTTGCTTTTGCCGTTGCTTTTTCGTTTGGTTTTGCCAAAGTAGAGTCATTAGCATATTCATACGGGGGAGGAGGCAGGGAGGGGTTTTGCGCTCATGCATGTTGCGCTCAGTTTCACGTTCATTCGGATGTACAAAGAATATGCGTGTGATTCGGCGAACGCAGTGTTTCATACATCTGAATTTTTTTCTGCGTACGCACATTTACAGCTTTGTGCGTACGCAATGTTTTAGTAAGATTTCCACGCAAGTCTTCGTACATGAGGCCCCTGAAGTTCACAAGTTAAACAGTTCAAGAAAACAGAGTGATTCTTGTTCCGAGTTCAGACTGCATGATTTTCAAAGTAGTCGTGTCACAGATGTTTTCACACTGCCTGACTATCTGGGCTAGGGTTTTGTCGCTGCTTTGTTTACACTGCAAGATGGAACGGCCAAAAACACATAGTATATCTTTTGTTATTAACTACATAACGAGAAAGAAGCCTTTAATGGGGTAGAAAATGTACATATTTGCTCACCTGGGTTTGAAGGGAAATAGCAATTTCTCCTCAACTTTCCTTTTTAACTTTCTGCATGAAACGTCAAACAGACACGGGTGCTCCTGTCAAACCTCCATTCGTTTTTCATCCATTTCTTTGATCCAAATAA